AAAACAATCAGTTTTTACTTATAGCCTCACGTACAAACATAATGTTTACCTGTACACACAACTGTAAACAATTTCTTTTTATCTCTTGACGCCAGTATAAACATGCCTATTACCCAATGTTTTATATGAACTCAAGTATAAAGACAACCCTGGAATGTAATCAAGTATAAAATTATACAACCCAATTATAAATCTTAGCTAATATTATAAAGTATAAACACAAACAATATTTACTTATAGAACAGAGTTTAAACCCAGCGTAAGTATTCCTTCAGACCCATCTATAAACAAAATATATTTCAACATGGAATAAAACAACAGACATTGACATATGTTTTAAATAGGTAGCCAACTATATTATGTGTTGTAAATAATCTGAACTATCCTGCGAACCTTACTCACTGTGAAGTGCTATTTGCAATCAACCAAATATACCCACTAGACTCTATATGGTTCGTTTAATTAAATAAAGTGATTTTGTAAAAAAAAAATATGCGATGGGCGATGAAAAGTGATTACATTAGCATAACATGAAACGCAAGATATCGTGTGTCAAGAGACATGAATCGCAGGTAATTATATTAACAAAATGTGTGTACAATGGGACTAGAGTGATTGATTAATTGATTTTTTTACGGTTTATCAGTCTTTTGCATGTTATTTGAAACTAGGAAATATTTTCATATTGCAATTTTTTTGGCGATAGTAATTAACTCATACCTGGAGCAAACGAGGTGGATTCAGACCTTTCACAAGGGTATTTGCGCGTAAGCGAATATAACTAACCTAGCTGGAATTTGAACTAGGCTCTCTAGTACCAAGATGTTTTCCATTACCCCACCAGCACATCCAACCTTACAGCACCTGCTATACCCAACATAAGTACTGACCATGTTCAATGTCGCTTAACTTCAGGGATCGTACGAGAACTTTTCAACGAGATATGGCCTTATGCTATAGCAGCTCTACATCCAATCTTACAACACCTGGTATTCGCAAGTATTCACTCACCTAGCTACTGAATAAAAACGACGCTGCTTAACTTTCCTGATCGTACCAGAACTATGTTTCAACATGATATATCAATAGGCTATAGCACCTGGACATCGAAGCTTACAGCACGAAGGCGGTCATCCATCTATGTACTGTACAAAAAATGCGGTCACCCATCCTGGTGTGGACAAAAGTCTACAACAAACAAACAAAAACCAAACGTAAATATTGCTTCATGTATGTAACATACACCGATTCTTGTTTGTCTATATGATATTCAGCTGATAATGTATATTCGTAAGTGTTTGTGCGGGGGTGTATGTCTTGTAGACATTGGCGGTTTTTCGCATGTTAATTTTGAACGTCCTTATGTACATACCGTTTGTTTTAGTTAAACCTAAGTTAGATTCTTTAAGAATGGATTCGGTAAGGGTCGGTGATCTCTACCCCCAAAAAGGCAGGATGTGTGTGTGTGTGTGTGTGTGTGTGTGTGTGTGTGTGTGTGTGTGTGTGTGTGTGTGTGAATGCACGGCTGCATTTTTGAAGGATTTGCACCAAAATTTACATGCACATGCTCCAAGTAAGCTGGAAGGCCAAGACCGACTTTGCATTTCCCAACTCCCATCGGTAGTGGAAATAATAGATTTTTCATGCTTCTACGCCAGTTTTAATGTAGTTTGCAGCCATTTTCTACTGGCCAGAGTGAGAGCCAATAGTTGGCTGCAACGAATAGGCAGGAAGATTCTAGTGGCCAGCGTGAGAGCCAACAGCTGACTGACGCGAATGTTAACTAGAATGCTAGCATGGAAAAAATCGATAGCTGCATTCGTCACAAGTGGGAAAAATTTAAATCTGCATGACACTTTACTCCAATTGGCTCATTCAACATTGATTCTGATTCCGCAGAACTGGGTTTGGTGTGAAAAAGTATATGTTGTTAACATTCTTTTTTCATTCGGTTTTTCCAGTTACGAGTCCTTTTTTAAAGCTGATCGTTTTGTGTTCATTTTTTAGTTCTTTTTCGTAACAGATTTAATGTTTAGTATATAGCTTAGAAAAAATTCGCAGTGTGAGATAGGCAAGAAGTAAGGCATGTAGCAACATCAGCACGGCAAAGAACACTCCTTTAAATGCAAGGAAGGGCAAAAATATTTTAAGTCAAGTGATAGCGATTGCTGTATGAGTCGTACGATTTTTGAATCAAGCTCGGGCAACGCCGGGTCATGATGCTAGTGTAATATATTGTTTATGACTTGTTTATTGCAATACTAGCAGGCTTCGTCAGATCGGTATCTCTTTGCAAAATAAGATATATTCACTAGTAGTATATCTGAAACAAAAATTTTAAATGAAGATTTCATTCATAAATTTGATTTGTTATAGTTAAGGAAAGTTTTACAAATAAAAGCCAACTTGTTGAAGACTAAGTAAAATGCGTATTTCAAAAACCTTCCTGTACTATATAAGACGGTATTCCGAAACAACTATTTCTTATATTAAAATCGCGATTACCACATAAAACCGACCTTGTATCATATCTTGACCTCGAGTGCGGTTGAGTATATAGATATAAATTACTGTAAAGTAGTTTGTAACACGTTTATTTATCATCTCTTCGTGGCGTCTCTGTCTTTGGGCAGAGTGTGTAAAGGGGTCGTCTCCGTCAACGAACAGAGTCGCAACTGAAGAAAATTATACTGACATGTGCCCAGCACTGGGAAACAGCTGCCCGAGGCCGTGCCCACTCATTTCCCTTGTGAAGGGGTTCGATGTTCGCGCCGAGGCCAGCGCAACCGATAGTTGCGGGAGCTGCGGTCAATTTATGTTACTTGCCCGGGTGTACGCGCTCAATCCACGCCTTAAGAAAGAACTTGTGTCACAATTCGTCTTGATGGGGAGACAGATTAAATAACTAGTGTATAAATTACTATAAAGAAGGTTGTAACACGTTTATTTTTCATCTCAAAGTTGCGTCTCTGTATTTAGGCAGAGTAATCTCTGGGACTACTCCATCAAAGGACAGAGTGACAACTGAGGAAAATTATACTGAGAGGTGTCCAGCCCTAGGCGAACAGCTGCCCGAGGATGCGCCTAATCATTGCCCTCGAAAGAGGGATCGGTGCACGCATCGAGGCCAGTGCAACCGATAGCTGCGTGTGCTGCGGGCTCTTTTTGTTCCTAGCTCCGGTGTACGTGCTCGGCCTTCTCACATTAAACCGACATTATATCATATCTTGACCTCGAGTGCGGTTGAGTATATACATACAAATTACTATAAAGTAGTTTGTAACACGTTTATTTATCATCTCTCCGTGGCGTCTCTGTCTTTGGGCAGAGTGCGTAAAGGGTCGTCTCCGTCAACGAACAGAGTCGCAATCGAGGAAAATTATAATGAGATGTGCCCAGCACTCGGAAACAGCTCCCAGAGGCCGTACCCCCTCATTGCACCAGGGAGAGGGATCGATGCTCGTACTGAGGCCAGCCAAACGGACGGTTGCGGGGGTTCGGCCAATTTTCTTTTCCTAGACCGTGTTTACGCGCTCGGGCCCCTTCACATCAAACCGACCTTGTGTCATAACCTGACTCTACGGGGAGGGGGTGTGAATAAATACAATTTATTATAAACTAGTTTGTAACATGTTGGTTTATCATTTCTCAGTTGCGTCTCTGTCTTTGGATAGTGTGCGCTCAGGGGCGGTCCCGTCGAAAGACAGAGTGACAACTGAGGAAAATTATACTAAGCGGTGCACAGCCCTGGGGAACCGCTCACCCGAGGCCAACCCCACCATCATTTCCCTAGAGAGAGGGATCGGTGCACGCACCGACGCCAGAGCAACCGATAGTTGTGGAGGCTGCATGCAATTTTTTGCTTCTTGCCCGGGTGTACGCCCTCGGGCTCCCCACATTAAACCGACCTTGTGTCACAACGCGTCTGCATGGGGTTCGAGTAAATACCAAATTATTAGAGCTGGGGCTTTTTAATCTCAGAATTCGCGGAAGAATTGAGCGCTAATTTCGCATTTATTCATATAGGTTCCATAATATAGGTTTTACTTAATGAACTAAAATGTTTCTCTAACTTTTCAAATGTTTAATCTATAACTAATTCTGCTTTGTATTTTATCGTCTTTACACTATAATAATTATATCTCATAAAATGACCCCTGTTCTCTTAGCCATGAAATAAAAATAATTGCTTGGGCGGGAAATTAGGATCTACTTCCGTCAAATCGTCTTTATATTTAGTGGCAGCAGAAAAGTTATCGTTGAACATTTAAAAGGTATGCTTAAACATTAATTTACATGTGCCATCGTCCCAGTTTATTTGAATTTGCGAACAATTTTTCCAATGTTGAATGTATAACTAATTCTATTAGGTTGGTGCAAAAATAATGACGTAATAATGTCGTTTTTGACGTATTTTTAAAGTCAAAAAACGACATTATTACGTCATTATTTTTGCACCAACCTAATAATTTCTGTTTTTCCATCTTTGCACTATTTTAATTTTATCTTATAAATTGTACCATGTTCTCTCACCCATACTATTTTTCTACTGTTTTGTATCGAGCACTGTTTTTTTTTTTTTTTTTTTAATAACTGCTAAGAACACCGGATTAGAAATCTTACTTTTCTTTCTTAATTTTTATATATATATATATATATATATATATATATATATATATATATATTTGTATGTGTGTGTGTGTGTGTGTGTGTGTGTGTGTGTGTGTGTGTGTGATTGTGTGATAGTTTTTTTTTTTAACAAAGCTTTCTTGGACACTCACGTCGAGGCAGTGTAGTGGAAACATCGAATCATTTGATACTTTCGGACAAAGCAAGATCTGTAGTCAAGCTGATCGCTCTTAGCTTCGAATAATTTTGGGGTTGTATGGCCGATCAGATGACTGGAAAGGGACCGAAAGCAACTGAAGAGCCAGAGGGAGAAAGAAAGATAGAAAGAGAGTGAATATGTGAGAGAAAGAGAGAGTGCTTTAGTGGAAAGGTTATTGCTGATGGCCCAGTGACAACGATGTGTCACGAATGGCTGTCGTGTTTTGAAAAGGATAGAGGAGGGCGGTTTTTGACCTGTCAAAGATTTGGCAGGGAAGAAATTGTGTGTGGTGGGGGAGAGAAAGTACAAAGAAAGAAGAGGAGCAAAAGCGCGAGGAATAGAATTTAGAAGAAGAAGAAGAAGAAGAAGAAGAAGAAGGAAAAAGAGCAATAACAACAACAACAAAAATACGTAGTCGAATGACCTCAAGGAAAGGTTTAGAAAGAAAGAGTGAAAATGTCAAAGAAATGTTCGAATTAAAATGAAGAGGACGAAAATGGCAACAATAAAAGTTATTGAAAACGAAGGGGAAAGGTCAAAAAAGATAAAAGAAGAAGAATCTTTGGCAATGGAAAGAATATGAAGAAATGAGAAAGAAGATGGAAGAAGGATAATTTTTGGCAAGAAGAAGAAATGAAAAAATACGAAAAGCAATGAAGGCACGTGGGAAGGTAAAGTAAAGCAAGAACGTTAAATGAAAGCAGGGAGAATAATTCACAGAAAAGAGGAAATAATATGAGAAAAAAACCCGAAGAACTTAATGGAAATCTGAAAAATCAGGTAGATATTTTTTAAGAAATAAAAGAATACGAAAAAATGAAGTGCTTAGAACAGAGTGAGTTGAAGTCTCGTAAGAAAAAATAAATAAATGGAAGTCATAAGAAAAAGAGAAGATAAAAAAGAAATGGAAGACGAAAGAGAAGAAGAAGAAACGAAAAAGAAGGAAAAAGATATCATGTAAGAAGGAGAGGGATATTTAAAGATAAGGAATGGTTAATGGCGAAAAAAGAAATATTAAGACAGAAACTACATGAAATAAAGTATGAAAATAAAAAAAATAAGAAGAAAAAGAGGAAAGAGGAAAGAATAAGTAGAAATTAAAAAGCAGAAAAATGAAGCAAGAAGAATAAAAGGAGTTTATGAACGAAGTAGAATGCATTGAATTAAAATAACATAAAAGGATTCGAAATAGGATAAATGAATGAAGCTGAGAGAAAAATGAAAAAGAGAAGAACGGAAAAATAAGAAGCAAAGAAAGAAAAAATAGAAAAAAGACGTAAGAAGAAAACCACAATGAATGAGAAGAAGAAGAAGAAGAAGAAGAAAGAAGAAGAAGAAGAATAAGAAGAAAGAAGAAGAAGAAAAAGAAAGAAGAAATAAGAAGAAGAAAGAAGAAGAAGAAGAAGAAGAAGAAGAAAGAAGAAATAAGAAAAAGAAGAAAGAAGAAGAAAGAAGAAATAAGAAAAAGAAGAAAGAAGAAGAAGAAAGAAGAAGAAGAAGAAAGTAATGAAAAAAAAACAAATAACAGAATAGGTAAAAGAGGGAGATAAAAGCTAAATGAAAAAGAAGAATAAGAATGAAAGAATGAAAGAAAAGAGAACGAATAAAAGGAAGAAAAAGTAGATAAAAAAAGCAGACGAATGAGTAAAAGATTAAAGGTAAGAAAATAATAGAGAAAGATTTGGCTGGTTGATTTGTTTAACGGCACATCAACTTCCTATGGGTAATTTAACCCCGAAATTTAATTTTCTTGGGAGCTTTTTGTAATATTTTTTTGTTGGAAATTTGTTTTATTTCTATGAAAGTGAAGTCATTCATTTACTATTATTAATATCTTATATAGATGTTCCACATTTTTAATTTTATCTACAGACCCTTTTAAGTAGCTACCTGAATCTAAAATTAAAAAAAAAAAAATTCTGTGGAAATTAACTTTACGTCTGATTATTCATGTCATATTAGTCTATAATCACAATACATTTGTTTCTTCCATATTTGCCGCAATTGTTAATGATAGTCTGTCTATGTTTTGGTTTATCATGGCATGAAAAAAAATAACTCACCCATCTCCACCATCTGAGCTTACTTTTCGATTTAGCGCAGATCTGAGAATTAATTGGTTAATGAAGACATACCCACAAGTATATATATATATATATATATATATATATATATATATATATATATATATATATATAATGGAATCTCTATCTATAAAAGGCAGGATGTGTGTATGTGTGTGTGTGTGTGTGTGTAACGAATTCACGGCCGCAATTTTCGAAGGATTTGCACTAAAATTTACATGCACATGCTCCAAGTTAGTGGGAAGGCCACGAGCGACTTTGCATTTCCCAACTCCAATCGATAATGGAAATAATCGATTTTTTCATGCTTCTACGTCAGTTTTCATGTAGTCTGCGGCCATTTTGTACTGGCCAGTGTGAGAGCCTATAGATGGCTGCCACGAATACGGAAGAATATTCTATTGGCCAGCGTGAGAGCCAACAGCTCTCTGACACAGATGTTAACTAGCATGCAAAAAATCGATAGGTGCATTCCTCACAAGTGGGAAAAATTTAAATCTGCATGGCACTTTACTCCAGTTGGTTCATTCGCTTGCTTAAACTCAACGTTGTTTCTGATTCGGCAGAACTGGGTTGGGTGTGAAAAAGTATTTGTTGTTAACATTCTTTTTTCATTCGATTTTTCCTTTTACGAGTCATTTTTTAAAGCTGATCGTTTTGTGTTCCTTTTGTTTAGTTTTTTTTTTCGTAACATATTTAATGTTTAGTATAGAGCTTAGAAAAAATTCGCAGTGTGAGATAGGCAAGAAGTAAGGCATGTAGCAACATCAGCACGGCAAAGGGCACTCCTTTAAAGGCAAGGAAGGGTAAAAATATTTTAAGTCAAGTGATAGCGATTGCTGTATGAGTCGTACGATATTTTAATCAAGCACGGGCAACGCCGGGCCATGCTGCTAGTATGCATATATAAATTTCTATAGCTCAAGTTCAGCTCTTCCCTTCTGTAGGTGATTATAACCGGTGATCGCGTATATAATTCCATCAATAATATGTTCGATGAAATTTTTCCACAAGCCGAACTGCGTTACATAGAATTGATCATTTTGTTATTCAGTTCCCCCTCATACACACAGATCTGTTTCATTTTGATCCGAAGACGCCTACCTAAAGAAGACAAAACGCATCGTCTATAAATCGCTACACAAAAGATTACGTATTTCAATAATATGAGTGTACTTCTTCAGTTAGTATTGAAACCTGAAAGCTTTTGTGTAACGAATTCAACATGTTTTTATTATAATCTATTGCAAGAAAAATATCATTATGTCTCAATATGATAATACGTGTCTATCTGGGTCGATGTGAACGTAGTGGAAAGTGAAATTGGCGAGTTCAATATGTTTATTTTTAGTCAAATACCCTTTGAAAAAATATGAATCCATAAATGTGTACAAAGGTATTTTGTAGGTCTTGATTGACAACCAGTATAAATATGGGTAGCCGATAAAAACTCCCATTTCCCAGCGGCTTGGTTCACACAAGGGTTTGTATCAACCACTAAAAAAGCAAAATTCCTAAAATCCTTAAGTCTATATTTTTATTTGAGTTAATATTGATCTAGCTTATAATCGTAGGCGGGGCGATTTGTATGCTGAGCCCAATAAATGTTAATAGTAACTGTTTAGCCGTTTCAGGGTTCAGGAAGACAGAAGATTGCGATTGACGTTGCATTTATTTTTTTGAAGATTTTTCGTGGCCAAAAAAAAATATCAGATGGTATTTTCACAGATGAGAAATTCGAAAAGAGAGACTGTTAGAATAGAATTGGCAATAGTCCGTTAGATAGTTCGAAAGTAAAACGGTGAGACCTAACTGCACATCTGGTAGCACGTTCCAGGACATGTCGTCGAGGTACTAAGGAGAACAGCTCATCAAAACAGAAAATACATGTGGAAAAGACAGAGAAAATCCATGTCAGTGATCGTACGAAAACCGGTGTTTATGGCGACGTTGCTTATCTTCAGTGATCGTTCAAGAACTGCTATTTCAACCTGATACGGCCGTAAGTCTTTTAAACCTCCCTCACATCCAAGTTTACACCGCATGCTATAACCAAGCAGTCACTCATCTAGATAATGACCAGGGTGGACGTTAGTTATCTTCGGTGATTGTACAAGAACCGCTCTTTCAACGTGATATGTTCGTAAGCCTTTTAAACTTCCCCCACATCCGAGTTTACATCACATGCTATAGCCAAGCAGTCACCCATCTAGATAGTGACCAGGGTCGACGTTAGTTAACTTCGGTGATCGTACAAAAACCGTTGTTTCAACGTGATATGTTTGTAAGAATCTTAAACCTCCCCCACATCAAAGTTTACACGACATGCTATACCCAGGCAGTCCCCCATCTTGATAGTGACCAGGGTCGACGTTAGTTAACTTCGGTGATCGTACAAGAACTGCTGTTTCAATGTGATGCGGCCCTAAGTCTTTTAAACCTTTCCCACATCCATGTTTACACCACATGCTATACCCAAGCAGTCACCCATCTAGATAGTGACCAGAGTCGACGTTGCTTAACTTAACCGTACAAAAACCGGTGTCTCAATGTGATATATCCGTAAGCTTTCCAAGTGGAGGACGCAATGCAATCACCCTAGAAGCCGTAGTGTTGCCAGTAAAGTTAATCGTGGTTATTGTTGTGTTGGGACTCCTAGATGGGAACGACACGGTGCGTTTGTCGGCGGAATTAAAATGGACGTTGGCTGTAGCAGTGGGATACACAATGGAAATTGGCCAAAAGGTGCTGACCCTGGCTGAAGTCCAAATGCCCAATGATCAAGTGAATGACCAAACGGAGAATAGTAATTAATCAAGCAGTTCTTTCGAGGAATTCTCTACGAATCGAATGCCCGTTAACGAAATCCTAGTCGCCAATTCCAAAGACTTCTTTTCAGAAAATATTGTTCTGTCTTTTGTCAGGAGGATTTCTTGAGCTAATTATATTTGCGGTCAAAGTTCACTTTTTTTTTCAGGAATTTTTCAGGGTTTTATTCAGCAAGAATCGCATTCATATTTGGTGCAACAATCAAAAACTAAAAGACAAAAAAAATAGGAAGAATCATACTTCTATTCTACCTGAGAGGGATCGAACTCATATTGATTGAGTCTCTAGATATATTTACCGCATGAACTACGCTAATAATATAAAAGAGATAGATCTTAAAAATGGTATCTCATAATTTTATGCAGGGGTTCACTGAGACATTAAAACTATTTCAAGAGTTCCACAAGGATAAAAAGGTTGAGAGATGTTGTCCTAAACTATTTTTATGTGAAATTTAAAAGAACAAATATTTATTACAAAACATCAAATAAATATATTTTACAAAATTCGTTTGCTTAAAGATTTTCTTTTAATTTTTGTTTCATTTTCTATTCCTAATAGCATTGGGATGGAGAAGGACGCATTCCCAAAGTTGGGTAGAATATTGCGAAACAACAGGATTTCCTTAGTAACAAAGAAAAAAAACACTGAGCCGATTGCAGAGCTACCAGAACAACTCTTTCTTACACAAGACTGACATTTACATAAACATACGGGTATATATAATAATTATGTATTCTCCATGTTCCACTATACATACCGAGATATAATTAGTCTTATATATTTAGTCAGGCATTACGGTGGCGGATGTCGTTATGAATTTAATACGCGGAATCGAAATCTTAGTCAGTAAATCCGAAGGCCCTTTTTGAGAAATTGTTTTTTTTTTTTATTCTTTCTAACTGCGGGTAAGTAAATATAACAGACCCAACAGAAATTGAAACTCGGCTCAGCATTACAAGACCCGCACATTAAACTTTTCAATATCTGGTATCACCAAGGGGTCACCCACTTAGATCAGTGTCTCTCAACATTTGTGTCCATGTGGAACTCTTGAAATAGTTTTAATATTTCAGGGAAACCTAGCACACAAATTATTATATACTATTATTAATATCTATCTCTTTTATATTTTCATCTTAGTTCACGTGCTAAACACAATATATGAACACCATGCATGTGTCCCGTACCCGTATATCACTCAGCGATGACCGAACCCGCCACGTACAGGTCTTGTCCACAAAGCAATGAAGGTGGTATTCACACTGACGCCATATAGACATCGCTAAATTATTCCCTATGATTATTATAATTTTAAATAATATAAGACGTTGAATCTTTTATTATAATAAGCAAGCGTGTATAGTAAAATTTCTTTTCTTTTTATGTGCTATATTCTTTAAGGGCGTAGGCCCTCATGGCTCTCCACCTCCCTCTATCTCCTGCAGCTCTCAACAAGTTCCTTTCCTCTGCTACCTCCCCTAGACCACGTTCTGTCATCCGATCGCTTAAGCCCGCTGGGTATGTCATGCGATGTTTTCCCTTGTCTTTCTTTCCCTCTTTTAAACCCGTGTGTATCAGATTCTCCCCACCCTTCTTCCTCATTATGTGCCCCAGAAACTTCAGCTGCCTCTTCCTGGTGTTAATTATAAGCCTCATTCTTGTTTGCATCCTCTCTTAGACCTCATCGTTGCTCACACGCTCTGTCCATGATATCCTTAGCATCCCTCTGTAGAAATACATCTTTGTCGCCTCGAGTCTCTTCTTTATCTTTTAGGAGATCGTCCAACATTCGCTGCCGTAAAGAAGGACAGATGTCACGTAACAGCTCAGTGTTCTTTTCTTTGTTACCAAAGAAATCCTCCTGCTTCGCAATAATCTGCCAGGCTTTTGGAATGTGTCCTTGGCCATCCCAATGCTTTTACGAATAGAAAATTTAAAAAAAAAAGGAAAAAAAAAAAAGAAAATTTTTAAGCAAACGAATTTTGTAAAATATTAGGTTGGTGCAAAAATAATGACGTAATAATATTACGTCATTATTTTTGCACCAACCTAATATTTTAATGTGATGTTTTGTAATAAATTTTTATTCTTTTATATTTCACATAATAATAGTTTATAGCAATATCTTTCAACCTTTTTACCCTTGTGGAAACATTGAAATAGTTTTCCTGTCTCAGTGAACCCCTGCATAAAAAATTATGAGATGCCATTATTAATATCTATCACTTTTATATTTTTAGCTTAGTTCATACGGTAAACATAATATATGGAGACTCACTCTTTACTCGAGTGAGCCACTCAATGATACATTAATCCGTCACGTACAAGTCATGTCCACTAACAAGTGGATGTGGTTTCACACTAACCCCATCTAGACGTCGTTAAACACATTCCCGATTACTATTATAATTTTAAACAAATGGTTTAATCCTTCGTTATAATAACCAAGGATTTTCCAACAATATGCCGTGTATAGTAAAATTTATTTTCTTTTTATGTGCTATATTCTTTCAGGACGTAGACGATCATGACTCACCACCTCCCTCTATCCCTTGCAGCTCTGAACAAGTTCCTTCCCTTTGCCCCCTCCCCCAGACCACGTTTTGTCATTCACTTGCTTAAGCCCACCAGGTATATCATGCGCTGCTTTCTCTTGTTTCTCTTTCCCTCTATTCGACCTGTGAGTATCAGATTCTCCAGGCCCTCTTTCCTCATTATGTGTCCCAGAAACTTCAGCTGCCTCTTTCTGACGTTAAGTATAAGCCTTCTTATTGTTTGTAAGTGTTATGCCATAGTACCAATTCTATTGTAATGGACTCTCCCATAGATAATAAGTAGGAGTAGCAGTGGCAAGTCTGGCAGAATGGCATCTCGCGGTCTTTGACTGCGGACGCCTGAACTCTCTGCGTAAGAGAGGAACCTCCTTTCCGAAGGGCAAGGTTTCGTCCGGGGAGGTAGGCAGGGCCTGAACCCGTTTAATCGGCTTCAAAAGGCTATTTTTTTGGCCGACCTACGGGCCGGGGAAACCCACATAAAAAACGGCCTTGTGCCATATTCTTTCAGTGGTGAAAAGATAAATACCGAATGGCATCTCGCGGTCTTTGACTGCGGACGCCTCCCGTCTAACTCGGCTGCGTAAGAACCCGACGAGGCTTTGCCGAAGGGCAAGGTTTCGTCCGGGAGGTGGATAGGCCTGAAACCCGTCTAATCGGCTTCAAAAGGCTATTTTTTTTTTTTTTTGGCCGAGCCTACGGGCTCGGGGAAACCCACATAAAAACCGGCCTTGTGCCATATTCTTTCAGTGGGTGAAAAGATAAATACCGAATGGCATCTCGCGGTCTTTGACTGCGGACGCCTCCTGTCGAACTCTCTGCGTAAGCAGAGGAACCCGACGAGCTTTGCCGAAGGGCAAGGTTTCGTCCGGGGAGGTAGATAGGGCCTGAAACCCGTCTAATCGGCTTCAAAAGGCTATTTTTTTTTGGCCGAGCCTACGGGCTCGGGGAAACCCACATAAAAACCGGCCTTGTGCCATATTCTTTTCCGTGGGTGAAAAGATAAATACCGAATGGCATCTCGCGGTCTTTGACTGCGGACGCCTCCCTGTCGAACTCTCTGCGTAAGCCCCGGACGAGGCTTTGCCGAAGGGCAAGGTTTCGTCCGGGGAGGTGGATAGGCCTGAACCCGTCTAATCGGCTTCAAAAGGCTATTTTTTGGCCGAGCCTACGGGCTCGGGGAAACCCACATAAAAATCGGCCTTGTGCCATATTCTTTTCCGTGGGTGAAAAGATAAATACCGAATGGCATCTCGCGGTCTTTGACTGCGGACGCCTCCTTCGAACTCTCTGCGTAAGAGAGGAACCTGACGAGGCTTTGCCGAAGGGCAAGGTTTCGTCCGGGAGGTAGACAGGGCCTGAACCCGTCTAATCGGCTTCAAAAGGCTATTTTTTGGCCGAGCCTACGGGCTCGGGGAAACCCACATAAAAACCGGCCTTGTGCCATATTCTTTTCCGTGGGTGAAAAGATAAATACCGAATGGCATCTCGCGGTCTTTGACTGCGGACGCCTCCTGTCGAACTCTCTGCGTAAGCAGAGGAACCTGACGAGGCTTTGCCGAAGGGCAAAGTTTCGTCCGGGAGGTAGATAGGGCCTGAACCCGTATAATCGGCTTCAAAAGGCTATTTTTTGGCCGAGCCTACGGGCTCGGGGAAACCCACATAAAACCGGCCTTGTGCCATATTCTTTTCCGTGGGTGAAAAAGATAAATACCGAATGGCATCTCGCGGTCTTTGACTGCGGACGCCTCCTGTTCAACTCTCTGCGTTACGCAGAGAGGAACCCGGACGAGGCTTTGCCGAAGGGCAAGGTTTCGTCCGGGAGGTAGACAGGGCCTGAAACCCGTCTAATCGGCTTCAAAAGGTTATTTTTTTGGCCGAGCCTACGGGCTCGGGGAAACCCACATAAAAACCGGCCTTGTGCCATATTCTTTCCGTGGGTGAAAAGATAAATACCGAATGGCGTCTCGCGGTCTCTGACTGCGCACGCCTCCCTGTCGAACTCTCTGCATTAGCAGAGAGGAACCTGACGAGGCTTTGCCGAAGGGCAAGGTTTCGTCCGGGGAGCTAGACAGGCCTGAACCCGTCTAATCGGCTTCAAAAGGCTATTTTTTTGCCGAGCCTACGGGCTCGGAGAAACCCACAATAAAACAGGCCTTGTGCCATATTCGTTTCCCGTGGGTGAAAGGATAAATACTGAATGGTGTCTCGCGGTCGTTGACTGCGCACGCCTTCTGTCGAACTCTCTGCGTTAGCAGAGAGGAACCCGGACGAAGCTTTGCCAAAGGGCAAGGTTTCGTCCGGGGAGGTAGACAGGGCCTGAACCCGTCTAATCGGCTTCAAAAGGCTATATTTTTGGCCGGGCCTACGGGCTCGGGGATACCCACATTAAAACCGGCCTTGTGCCATATTCGGTCCTCGTGGGTGGAACGATAAATACTGAATGGCGTCTCGCGTTCTCTGACTGCGCACGCCTCCTGTCGAACTCTCTGCGTTAGCGGAGAGGAACCCGGACGAGGCTTTGCCGAAGGGCAAGGTTTCGTCCGGGGAGGTAGACAGGGCCTGAACCCGTCTAATCGGCTTCAAAAGGCTATTTTTTTTTTTTGGCCGAGCCTACGGGCTCGGAGAAACCCACAATAAAACCGGCCTTGTGCCATATTCGTTTCTCGTGGGTGAAATGATAAATACCGAATGGTGTTGAGCGCGTCAGTCGAGA